CACAAAAGGAGGTTGAAACTTTTTATGTTTTTCAGAATATGAATAACCAAGTCCAATTTTAGCTTTTACAAATCGTTGATTGAAAAGGACTTTGTTAAGACTTTTTGAGCCTAATCATTAGTTTTAGTATTTAGTTGTTCATTTTTGGAAATAATTATTGTGCGTCGAGTTTCAAACTTAGTCTGTTCAGATGACAAATCACAAAATAACTCATTTATCCTAGCAACTAATTTTTCTTTTCATATTGAATATTTTCAAGTTGTTTAGATAAACAAGAAATTTAATTTTGTAATTCAGAATATTTATGCACTCAAAAGAGGTTGAATCAACTGAATTTAAAATTGAAGAAGAAAATTTAACTTTCTTTGATAGAAGTTTATTTTCTTTATTCAAGTTTGTATTCTTCTTTTTAGTTTTTTTATATTTATAAGTAATATTTCTCAAATGAATTAGCATCTTTTAATACTTAGAAGAAAGCTAATCATAAGAAGGAATACTTCCTCATCCAAATACTCACCATCAGACCCACTTGTGTTACTTTGGCCTGAATCTGAAAATAGTGCGCCTCTTCCTGTAAGACACTTATTCACTTATTTTTCATCTTCACTTGTCTCAATTTCAAACTCACCCTCATCTGTCAAATCACAAGTTGTAACTTTAAGACTGTTATCCTCCTTTTTTTCCATTCTATACAAAGGGCATTGATTCTTATAGTGACTTAGTTTCCTGCAATTATAATAGATATGTCTGGTTTCAGAATCACTTGAGGAATAATTGTTTACTTGTTTAGGAAACGTTTAGCAACTGTGGCATTTTTGTCGTTTCTTTTTTTTTAACAAAAACAAAGAAACGTGTTTGGCAACCGGGACGTTTTTTTGACTTGTCCCTTTATAAAATCTAAAAATTAAATACTTTTCTCAAAACACCAAAAAGGTGTTTTGAGATTCTGTTTTTTCATCTAAGCCGTCGTCGCCCGCTCGCCTTTTTTTTAACAAAAACAAAGAAACGTGTTTGGCAACCGGGACGTTTTTTTGACTTGTCCCTTTATAAAATCTAAAAATTAAATACTTTTCTCAAAACACCAAAAAGGTGTTTTGAGATTCTGTTTTTTCATCTAAGCCGTCGTCGCTCGCCTACTGTCGCTATATAAATGGTCAAACTAGTTTGACCAAAATGGTATTTTTAAAACACATTTGAAAAAGAAACACCATTGCATGGTGTTTTTTACAAAAACAAAACAAAAAACACATTGATTGCCAAACATACCCTTAGTAAATTGATTCTGTTTTTCTGAAGAAAATTTTGTCCTTTCTTTGACTTTAAAAAAGACTTGAACCCTTCTGCAAGAAGCAGAGATTGATCATCTTCATCTTTTGAACATGAATCTGATTCCATCTTCTTCTTTGATCTAGATTTCTCCTTTTTTGCTCGTAAGGCTAACGACTTCTTCTTCAAATCTTCTTCTGATGTATCTTCTCTTTCTTTTAGCTAGACTTCATAAATGATGAGACTGCCTAAAAGTTCATCAAGTGAAAGTTTAGAAAACTTCTAAAGTTCTTTTATTGCTGTTACTTTTGGTTTCAATCTCAAGATAAAGAATTGATTTTGCATAGGTCCTTGTTATCGTACTCCTTCTGTGAAGCTTTTGATTTGTTCACTATATCAGTAAATCAAGTGAACTTCTCTTGTATGCTCTCGGAGGCCTTCATCTTGAAATTCTCATATTTTCTCACCAGCATTACAAGCTTTGCCTCCTTAACCTATGAAGTTTCTTTATGTGTGATTTCAAGTATTTTTCAAATTTTCATGTGCATTAGAATAATTGAAATACGGTTAAATTCTTTAGTAGTAAAAGATCAAAATAAAACATTCATGGCTTTTGAATTATAAGAATAAATTTGTTTATCTTGTGTGGAGTCCACTTCTCATTGGTTTGAACAACTGTAACACCATCTACCTCAGTAGTAGGTTCCTTATACCCATATTCTACATTCTCCCAAACATCCAAACTAGTAGACAATAGAAAAGCTCTCATACATGCTTTCCAATATGTGTAATTGGTGCCATAGAAAAGAGAGGGTTGATTGACGGCGCATCCTTGAGGAAAAGCTGGAGCGATGGTAAAGCTTGATATCTCTACCCAAGGTTGTGACACCTAAAGATGGGTAATGATGCTCTGATACAACTTGTTGGAATTGGGATCCAAGCCTAAAAGAGGGTGAATATGATTGCGACAATTTTTCGACTAAATTAGAATAAACATCAAAAATATAATAAGTAAAAACTAAAAGTAGATCAACATAGGAACATGCGAGATTTTTAATCAAAATCTTATGTCCACTCTTCCTTTTTATGAGGGCCTTCCTCACTATGATTAGAGTTCACTTGAATTATAACCCGATTCAGTAGGCTTCAAAGACCACGCCTTGAAATTTATCCGAAACTAGTCATCTAATCTAACTTTTCACAATGACCAGAAGATCCTACTCCTAACTAGCCAACCCTCAATCAACCAGGTTTGAGTATGTCAACCCTTACTTACCTTGGTTTGAGTATATCGTCAAATTCACAAGTTTGAAAAACAATCAACCAAAACAATTAGAGCACAAAAGAACAATCTTACAGCCCTTTATTAAACCGTTCTTTAAACCAATGTAGATAACGATCGTGAAGAAGTGAAGTTAAAGTTGAACGCAAAGTGAATTTCTCCTCGCTGAAATAATTCTTTGATGATGAACGCGATGAGAAGAAGTTGAACGAGGCTCCTGGGTTTAAATTCTCAAATCAGATGCTCTTTCTCAAACCCTAGAATAATATCTCAACTCTTCTTGTTGTTAAATTCTCTTTCTCAATTCCCCTTTAAATAGATCTTGAATACATTTCAAAGAGATCATTTAATTAGAGTTTTGATAGAAGTTCAAAACTATCAATGAATGGCTGAGATTAAATCTTAAAATCTTTTCGCGTCCAGACCATCGATGGCGGGTCACGACCATCGATGGTCCATTAATGATCATCGATGGTTGATTGTAGTCCATCAATTATGCAAATTCTGATTTCTGAATTTCTGTGATTGTTAATTGCAGTCCATCGATGGTCCTTGCAATCATCAATGATCCACTGTAGGCCATCGATATTTAATGGTGCATCGTGACCATCGATGGTTCAAAGGCTAAATCAACGTTTGTTGATTTTTGCATCGTTTTGACCCGTAACTTATTCGTACCTATTTATACCTGAAATATATTATCTCACAACTATATCAGTAACAAATAAGAGTTTGTTATTAGTCAAACAAGAGATATTGCACGAACAATATTCTACCTGAACAACGTTCTAACACTTTTAAGGCTAAACACATTCGAAAAGTATTAACATCTAGAGAGAGAGACATTAGAAATTTGTAAGATCCACTTGTGCATCCAAATTTGCTGCAAACCTATGATTCATTGCGTAATAAAATTTATCACATTCTCCTTTCGAATGATCTAATGTTTTATATATATAAAACAAACAGATGACGAATAAATATATCACTAAACTGGAAAGAAATGGTTTGCAGCTTAACCTTTAACTTTAATCTATATATATCAACTTTAAATCAAAACAATATAACATTATAAAGACTTTATTCAAAATATTGGACTATGCCTGCTCAGTATTATACCTACTCAAATTCACACTTCAATTGGATGGAAATAAATAAGGTTTCATTTTGTTAGACTCCAGATTAATTCTTAATTGTATACTAGGACTCTACATCTTCATATTTCTAATTCACATCTCTGGAAATGGGGATTTTATAATATAAAACCCTACATTTTTCTTAATTTTGTTTATAGACCCTCCAAATCTTCATATTTCTAAATAGCATCGTTAAATCTATTAATTATAAGAGTTAACCATACCAGGACAATAATTATAAACAAAATTCAACCTGAGGTTGTTATCTAAATTACGTTAATTGATTTGGATGTAAATTAGAAATATATAAATTTTGAGGCCTAATATACAATTAAGTAAGAACAATCTCTAATATGCAAAACCCCAAACAAATATTAGCATTTATCTGAAAATGAAATCGAACTCAGAACAAATTATTTCCATCCCTCTACTACTTTTAATTTCTAACTTAAAAACAAAACCTTAAAATATTATTCATAATACAGTAACAAGTATTCACTCTAAAGTATAATTCAGAAAACATTGAAATTACTGTTATTGCTGCAGTATTCCGGCCTCCAGAGTTTAGACCGATTGTGCCCGGTGCATTGATTTTTTCCGTCGTACATGCTATAATAAAATTAGGCTACCGTACAATTTTATCCTTTTATCCACTGCTCAAGTTGAAGTAAAATTTTTTGTTCTACCACTTTTTATACACTGTTCATATCTGCTACTTTTTTCCCATGCAAATGATGATTTTAACTTTTACCAGGCATTTCACAAAAATCAATCATTTTTCTCTATTAAAAAAATTGATAAAATCGCTAATTTGCACATTTTTTTTGTTAACTAGTTTTGAGATTTAATCTTTAAATAATAGTAAAAAAACTATCATTAAAGTTCTTATAAATAGTTATATATAAAAACCATATTATCAATTTGATAATACATATATCTTGATAAATAACAAGCGCAGCAATGCGCTGGCCGGATACTGCCATTTGCATGCATGTTCGTGTACAGGTGTGTAATTTACCAACATAAGTTAATATTGACATCAAGGCCTATATATGACAATTTTTCAAGCAATTACGATTATACTCTGATGAACTGGCGAATACATCATATGATTTTCAATAATCATTCTAAATTATAATCAAGCTGATGCATGGACGCACCATAGAAAACTCTTGCTCACAAGCTCCTATACATGGCGACAATTATGGACAAAATCCGACCAGATATTTCAATCAAATAGCTTGCGACATCTGGTATCTAAAGGAGAAATATGAAGACATGGGGCCTAATGTAAATTAAGAAAGAATTCAGGGTCTAAACTGATAAAACCCCAAACATATATTAACATTTGGCAGAATATGATATCAGACCCAGGTCAGATTATTGTCATCCATTCACCCCCAAAAGGCCGTACCATACTGGATCATTAACAGAGCTAGAATCTATCCAACACAAGCTGATGACATCAACACACCCATATTTGAAAACTTTTCAAGCGGTTAAGATTATACTCTCATGAAATGATCAAAATCCCTCACAAGCTTTTTCAAGGACCATTCTAAGCAACAATCATACTCTGAAACTAAACCTAGAACTCCTACACGTTGAGAGTACTAGTCACATACACAGCCAGCGGAATTCTCACTACATGCCTCTGATCACCATGCAACACCACCTCACCAAAGGCATATGTGTTCGTCACCTCCCTTGCCACCAGGTCGATCCTCAGACCTCTTGATGCGTTCGGGCTGATCGTGAACTCCGACGGCGTCACCGTCACACTGACGCCCGTCAGATCACGGACCACGGCCCGATACCTGTTAGATAGACATTTAATGTACTGGGAGAAAGCTGCAAACTTATACAGTGTTTTACTTTGCCCAGCGCTAAGGAATCTTTAAGGGGGTTTCTCAACATTAGTCCCCCAAATCTTCATATTTTGAAGTAAGCCCCCCAAATCTTGTACGTTCTTTAAAATTAGTCTCTTTGTTACATTTAGCATCCAAATTATTAATCATGGTTGGCTTTGCGGTTAACCGAGGATTGATAATCATCAAATTATTCAAATAAACCAAAATCAACTCCAATATCCAACAAAATAAGTTCAAAATCAGTGGATTTAGTTCTAACCTTATAAGTACGCTAAAGATGGCATAATATTCACTCAATTTCAACCAAACTATAACTAGAAGGACTAATTTCAAAATGCATAAAATATTTGGGGGGCTAGTTTGAAAATATGAAGATTAGGGGGACTAATTTCAAGATATAAAAGATTTTGGGAACTAACATACAAAAAGCTATCAACTAATTACTCCCACCATACCTCTCTACATCGTTCGCCACGCTCGTCACCCTCCGAAGAACCCTCCTCGACCCCACAAGGTTGGCCACCGTCACGCTCGGCATGTTGAGGTCCGAGCACCCAACACGAAGCCCGCGAGCTCGGACAGATCGGTCCCCACCAGCTCTCTAACCGACTCATCATCAACCCAGGGAACTGCACACAGGAACTGGATGTAGTTCTTGTAATCAATGTCGAATATCAAGCCGGGATCGATGGCTTTGGCTGGGTTGATGAGGCCTGCCCCGTAGTCAAATGGGGTTGCAGGGATTACGTCCGATGAGTGTTGGGCGAGGGTTGGGAAGCCGGAGCTGTCAGTGGTGTTGGCAGTGGTCATGATGGCTGAGGCAATGGCGGCAGGGCTCCAGTTTGGGTGTCGCTGTTTGATTAGGGCAGCGATACCGGCTACGTGGGGAGTTGCCATGCTTGTGCCTGAGAGTAGCGCGAAGTCCTGGCCTGAATTTTTAGATAAACATGAAAAACTATCTATTAAATATTTGTACGGTGGTGACTAATTCTAACTCTAGCACTTACCGGATTCGGATCCTCTCCACTACAAAAAAAATAGTGGAGGGACCACTACATAATCACAGCCATTGATTATCTAGTTGATGGTTATGATTTTTTCTTTTAGTGCAAATTAGGAATGAGTGCAATACACGGGGGTATGGTAAGTGTTAGATTTAGATTGTATCATAACCGTCTACTAAATAATCAATGCTTGAGATTAAAAGTAGTGGTCTCTCCACTACTTTTTTGTAGTGGAGAGGATCCAAATCCGCACTTACCATAGCAACTGCGGTTGGTATTTATTTCCATGTTTTACTCAATATAAATCTACCATCCACCAAAGATTAGATGGTGGTTATCAAAAGTAGCATTCAATCTAGGCTAAACCCCTTATAGTACGCCAAATGGAACTTACTATCCCTGTAGGCTATAGTTCTATTGCTGCAGATAGACCCAAGTGAAATGTTTTTTGACCCGTAGCTAATTGTGATTTGCATTTATTACCATGTTTTACGCAATATAAATCTACCATCTACCAAACATTAGATGGCTGTTATCAATAGTAGTGTTAAACCTAGGGTAAATCCCCTTATAATGACAAATGGAATTTACTACTCCTGTAGGTTGTAGTTTTATTGTTGCAGATAGACCCTCCACGTGAAATGTTTTTTGATCATTCTCAAGGGGTTTATCTGCAACAATAGATTTTCACTTAGGGGGTAGATATGCAACAATAGAACTTTTTAGAGGGTCTATCTGCAATAATAAATTTTCACTTAGGGGTATATCTGCAATAGTAGAATTTTTTTAGGGGGTCTATCTGTAACAATAGAACTACAGGGATAACAAGTTCAGGTTGGCAATAGTACAAGGGTCTATCCGCAATTAATGCTTAAACATATTGTTTTCTAATAGTGGAGAGGATCTAATGTATAACTGTCATCCCCATCTCAATTGGTAAAAGATACGAACATGTTTTATTTTTAACGATACTAGTATGCACCCCCGCAAAGCACAACCCCCTATTTTTTAAGTATTATATTTTGAACTTACCTCCCTCTAAATTTTAATACATTTAATTGATTACTGTATGCTTAAAACTATACTTAGAGAATAATCCAAGTTTTAATACATTTGATTTAGAAATCATATCTTCTTCATACTTAGAGGAGGATCTAAGTTTTTATATATTTGATTTGATTTACTGTTTATGAAAAATACTGTAGCATAAACAGTAACATCAAAAAAAGAATAGTTAAGGTAGCGTTTACTGTAGCATGAGTAGTAATTCTTTGGATCCTCCTATAATATAGAAGAGTAGATATAAGATAGGTTTCAAACTTTGCATTTAAATTAAGTTATTTCTTAATGATCCTTCTGATATCAAGGACATTGGAGGTTTGTTCTCTCTGCCATCTATTTAAATATTACGTAACCCAAAAGAGTTGCTGAACCAGTTATAATGGTTGCATGATCAACTGCAACCTTTTTGGGCTTATATTTTGAAGCTTTTCAGTTTATGTCTTCAATTAAAATGAGCACAATTCTCCATTCTAGTAAAACTGAAACATAGTTTGAAAAGTGAAGTTTTTGTTATACCTCTGATGTACTGCTCATTGTTAGCCTTGGGGCTCCATGAAGCCCAAATGGAAGAGCCAGGAGCCATGATGTTGGGTTTTAAGATATCAGCTGTCTGCATGTTTGCATTGTTCACATCAGGGCCTCTTGATGAGTAGGATGTGGATCCTTGCAGTTGCTCCGAAGCTGACAACGCCTCCACTTATGCCTCTCAAGGTGTCAGAGTCGTAGTACTCCCACAAAGCCTAATATGTGAAAGGGAAAAAAATAGTCATGACTTATCAGGGGAGTTCAAGCAACTTTCAGTCGAGAATCCATCTTTCTTCCGTCTCCATAAACTTGCATGTTCACATAAATAGCTGAAATGTTTCAAGTTGAAGGACAGTCACCATGTCGGTCTCTTGATTGGTAGTGGAGGTAATTAGTTGGAACTAAAAACTTTTCTGTATTGGGTTTGAATGGGTATCTGAATATGTTGACGAAGTTTGATACCAGGTGAGGACCTGTTAGTAATGAGTTGGTGCCTGGTAGTTGCATTTGAGTTAGTAATCTTGGTTAAGTTTTTAATAGGTAAACCGTGGCCTCCTCGGTTCCGACTTTTAACACTGTAGCTTCTGCAACGAAATGGAGTATAATTTGGATGTTTTTCATTCTCCTTGTCAATTTCGTAGAGGGTGTTTGGGGGAGCTTACTTTTTGGTCAAACTAGCTTTTTAAGTTAGCTTTGTCACATATACCTATTTGGTAAAGTACAAAATTAGTTAGCTTATAAGCCCCATTTTAAGAAGCTGGTATACTCCAAGTTTTGAAAAACTAGCTTATAAGATCACTTAAATAAACTAGCTTTGACCAAACAAATTACTAATCTACCCAAACAACTTTTATAGCACTTTTTTCCTAAAATCCAAAAGCCACTAAAAACCAGCATAACTTATAAGCTTTAAAATATAAACCCTTCCAAAAACCGTCTAATAGTCTAAGCATTTTGGAGGTTCATCCACTGTTGCATGAGTTAAAGTAGGATAAATTTCAGAAACATATCGTAATGAGTTTTTGCACACAACTACCGTGAAGCTTGAAAATTAGAGACAGAAATACCAGGAACTATTGGAAATTGTTGCTAAGTGGCGTTAACAGCTTAGGTAAAAGGTTTAAACTACTCTTGAAAATTGGAAGGGGGGTGGGGGGTAGTGTAGAAGATAATGTATAGTACATAATAGAAAACTTGTCTGAATCATGTCGCGTGCAAGTCACATAACAATTTAATCTGTCACCAGATATGATAGTTTCATGAAAAAATTTCGTTGTAGTTCTCTCCAATAAAAAGTTCTATGGTAGTTTGTGCAAGATTCTTTGAACTGGTAGTTTCCTGAAAGTCACTCTTAAAATTACATGATCACTAAGCTGGATGTTATTGCTTCTCAACTAGCTCTGTGTGGTAAATCCTTTTTGCATACAATTTTTTTCTTATATCACTGCACGATTTAGAGGTCTAGAATCTTATCAAAGGAGTCTATTGGTATGAGCGTGATCCTATTTCTATGGTAGAACACCCAAAAGACATAAGCATTTAACTGTGAGTTAAGTTGATGGATAAACATGCTCTAGAGCATGGCCAAAGTGTGAACATCCACCTACTGAGGACCAAGGCTTGATCCATATAAAAATGTTAATACTGAGTAAAACACTCCACAAAAAGGCAGAGAATTTCATATAGATGGATTGTCTAACCATTAAATGCACATGCAAACATAAACAGAAGCAAGGTCAAAATTACCTGAGAGGCTTCCCTACTACTGAGAATAATGCCGGGAACCGATAGAGGTAGATTGGCATCTGCTATCGGCTGAGAATCAAGGCTTCGGCCCATAGTGAAAATGAACCCCGCTGCTCCAATTGTCTGGATAGTATCAATGACAGACTCAATGCTTCTAGGTGTAAACACATAGTCAGAAGTATATGAGCAGATGATAATCTTCCTCCGAGCAATTGCTGGAATGAAGGCATCTGGTTGCTGGCAGTTTTGCACTGACATATAACTAGCATTCGTGCTGCATACATCTTCTGCAGCAGCTAGTGTATAGAAATGGTTTTCAGCAGTTGGAGCTGAAATAGGAGCAGCAAGGTGAGAATGTAGAACTTGGATGACATCCAACAAATTTGTCAAATCAAAACAGAATTTGCTAGATACAAATGAAGGCAGAAGCACAAAAAACATAGTAATAATATAACCTATGTTAATGAGTTTTTCATTCATACGTTGACTGTGAAATCTTGCAAACAGGAAAATTGTGGAAAATAATTAGAGAATAATGGAACTCATGATTTTTTAAAGTAGTTGGACAAACAATAGTCTTAAGTATTTTAAGGAACTCGATCAAGAAATCTGAATGGCTTAACAGAAGATGAGAAAGTGCTATATTCGTATTCTGAAAATGATAAACTCAGAAATTAGCAGCCTCAACAAGGAATGACATTATTAATTAATAATTTACAAGTTGAATAAACGATGGAATTTGTAAATGACTAGTGAAATATGTAATGCATTCTTATATCTCATGAGTACATTTAGTTTAGCATGGTTCATGAAAATTGATAATTTGGAAATAAATTGGTCACTGGAGACAATGAAACTGATTCCCTGCTTTTTAACATTTATCTTCTCTACACATTCTCTTTGCGAAAATAATCCGACACTTTTAAGTAGTAAAATATTGTTGTTGAAATGTAAGTAGAGAAGATTACGTAGTATGAATTTGAGCATGCATGAAAAGTTGACCGATGACTCTAAAAATTTGAGATTATACACGTATAACTTTTTCAACCTGACTAACCTATTCATTTAACATAAATAAGATAGAATTCATGAAAGGAAAAGAGAAGTCATGCTAGTGTTTATAGAATTAGGAGGAAAGGCATAAGAGCTATACGTGATAGCCCAATCCCAGACAAGCTTTGCCCGGAGCCTAGCGTCATGGAATTATTGTACTTGCGGTCAGTGGAAGAGGCAGCCACACTCATAATCCAGGGGCTGAAGGAGAGGATTGAGCTCGGACCAGGCCCTCCATTTCCAGCAGCCTGAACTACAAAAACTCCCGCTTTTGTTGCAAGCAACAGCTCCATCTCTAAGATATTGAGAAAAGAAGCAGGTCCTGGTGGAATTGTTGAAGGTCCTATTGAGAGGCTCAGAACATCAACTCCATCTTCCACTGCCTGGAAACTTATAATTTGTTAAAAATATTTACATTGTATGATTAAGGTGGACTATAAGGATGATAAAGTACTAAATTAAACCTTATCAACTGCAGCTACAACGTCAGACATATACCCACCAAAAGAGAAGATAGCTTTATAAACAGAGATACTGGAAACAGAAATAGAGGAAAATCCATAAGTAATTCTTCTGAGGTAAATACAACTTTGACATGTTTATAAGGTCAATTACTTACTGTGCTCCTGGGGCCATCCCACTCGCATATCCGAAGTTATAGCCGTTGGATATGAGTGCGATCCGATAATTTCCAGCAGCGGTTGAAGCAGTGTGGCTGTTTACATAAATTATGAATCAGATAATTTCATATATCTCTGCCACCTACTTGTAATGATTAAAAAAAGAAATATGATGCTATTAATGCCCAGACTTAGTGGTATCAAATGACAAAGACAATAAGTAAACATGCCAATGGTATGGACTTGAAAATAGTCGCCACAGAAACAACAGAAATAAGATGTCTTATTAGCATATATAAAAGCCATGAGTAAAAACAGGACCTAGCTTCATCATAAGGTTTTGAGTAGCTTGACATCTACAGGGCTTGAAATCTACAGGTTGCTATGTATTACAGGCAGTATTATAATGGTTATCTAATGATCAATCAAAAGATGAAATGCGTAGAAGTGTAGGCTAATCAATCTATATTTGAGTGGCTCGTAATTTGAATGGCTCGTATGTGACTTGAACTGGAACAAGAGAATTGCTCCACCTGCATGTCAGAGCTTCAAATGTCACAAGTGACATTGTATAACCACTTGAAAATATTTTAGCCCCCCACTTGCACCAAGAAATTGAGAAGGCACCATATAGAGCATGTTAATATTTAATAATTAAATTTCAGAGCCTCTTATCAAGTAAATATCGCATGTTCCCCAGTTTCACCAAGAGAGTAAGAAACCTCCGAATAGATACATGTTTACTTCAAATTTACTTAAGAATATACTACGCTTCTAGTTTTATTGTTGCAGATAGACCCCCTGAGTGAATGTTTTTTACACTTTTACCCTCAGATAAGGAGAAATTTCTTGACAAATAGGCTTCATGAGGGTAAAAGAGTAAAAAAAAAACGCTCAGCAGGTCTATCTGCAACAATAAAACTAGAGGGGTTGTAAGTTAAGAACGACAATAATACAGAGGGTCTATCCACAAACCCTTTAATTAAACAGCATCTTTTAGTTTGAAATTTACTACACGTGGTCACCTACTTACTGGAATTTACCTTCCATGGCCATCAGAATCAAATGCTGAAGCAAACTCACTCGAGGAGTTGAAGTCACCTGCAGCAATTGCTGCACGGGCAAAATGCTGTGCACCCACTATTTTCCCATTGCATGCACTGAGAGGAAACTCGCTTCCACTTTCACATCTCCCTTTGAATTTTGTAAGCCGAGGACTCCGTCCAGTCCTCAAATTAGAAAAGCTGGGGTGATCGGGATTGATCCCAGTGTCTATCATTCCAATCACCACTCCTTCACCAGAATGCTCAGCTTCTCCTAGTACTGGCCATACTTCAGATGGAATGCCTAGATAATCTGGAGTGTGAGTGGTCATCTTCACCATTTTGATATCCTCTTGGATGATTCGGATTCCTCTTGCATCTCGAAGAACTTCAATTGCCTAATCTCCAAATAAAAATAGTTCCCATGCAGAATAAGTAGAAATAGTTTCTGTGCATTTATCAATAGAAATTAACAAGTGCATGTGTCTCATACCTTGCAAAACCACAAGTACGAATTTAAATTTCTGGAGGTCTACATTTTTCAACTATTTTTCCAAAATGCATCTCAGGATATCCAGTTTTAGAAAATTTGGCTAAACAACAGACGACCTATGTACATATGGTATATACAAAACAGTGGATAACTGAGACATGGAGGAGATTTATTTTCTGGCATTGTATCCACAGAAGGATATAAGATATAAGAGAGAGGTGGAACTGGCAAAACATCTTTGAAGTTTTAATGCAGGCTGGGATTGTTAGAATAACTTAAACCGTAGATTTCTTGTTCATTATCTGGTTATCCTTCTTTTTGCTTATTGAAATTTGACATGTTTCAATGACTCTAGGTGGCTTCAGCTGCCCAGCAAGATGGTAAAAAGACTTTGAGAACAACTCAAATGGTTTGTTGTGATTAATTTTTTAGTCCATGGAAGATCGTCCGTGAATGTTTTATAATGACAACGGGGAAAAAAGAACCCTAATGCATATCTAATCTATGCAAGATAAGTGTGGTTGCATTATGTAGGATATATTTTATTAAGCTAAAGATGTATATTAGTATTTATGACCCCAATGGTTTTAGATGACAATGGGGAAAAAGAGCCCTACATGCATATCATATGTGCAAGATATGTTTGGTTGTTTTATATAGGATATATTTCATTAAGAAAAAGATATATTAACACTGGTGACTCCACAAATTTTCTTAGACTGGTGATATTACTGTTGTGTAGGATCAGACAGTAAGTTGTGATTGGACATATCTGTCCATTTCATCTTCAGGAACAACTTCAAATCATAACAATTTATACCTTTTCCCCCTAATTACTTTGAGAAAAAGAAGATATAGATAAAGATGAACCTCTTCAGATGATGTGTGCAGTGCAAAGCCATTGAGGAGGTGAGTGTAGCTGTAGAGCTTTGTGTAGGATCCTGAAGGGAGGAGGGACTCCAGAAAAATGTCATGCCTGCTGATAACCTTCTCCTTGTACTTCTGAGCATCATCGCTGCTCCTGCCAAGTAAGAAATCACATGGCATACATAAGCTAACAAGTCATGAACTGTACCACAAGCAGAATTTACATCAAATGAAGTATGACTTACATCTTGTAGTTTACACTAGATTTGTAGGTGATAACTGGATCATCTTCCATCAATACAATAAAAACCTTGCCGCTTACAAAGGGGCGATGATTTTGAATCAAAAAAATTATAACAGTGGTCAGAAGCAAAAATATGAAGTTAGGAGCCATGGCCATGGAGAATGATAAGAGTTAAGAGGTAATAAGCCAGCTATCTATAACATGGTATTCCTACTGCAGAGCTTTCTTATTGACGATATAAGGCTGGTTAGGCGCACCTTTTTTGTGATACCTGGTAGATAGACTGGAAGGGAAAGGCTCATTATTTGATAATAAGTGAGGATTTGGTTAGCAGTAGATTCATGCAGATCACATTTGGATGCATGTCTAACTCATTTCTCAACAGCTACTTGCTAATAATACATTTCCCAACCAAACCTTTTCTATGCACCACTTTCTCATGTGAGCTAGGTGACGCAAATATTCACTAACATGAAAATAAAAAGCTTGACAGCATAATATAAATGGTAGTCAAAATTAAGATCATGAAACAAAGTGAGTAATAGCATACTACATAATGGCACACAGAAAACCACCCAGATCTTTTACAGGTAAATAGCATCTGTCAGACTTGAGATGGAACAAAATAATTATATGGCACATTCTTCTACAGTGAACTTTATTGCTCATTCTGCTCAAGGTAATAATATATGTTAAAGTTCCCTTCCACTCCACCAAAACTTGAAATTTGCGTTGAGGGTCGAGGGTTGATGGTTATAATTGTTCTAACATGCTCTCTCAGATAGGGCAGCCTTTTATGACTGGAACTTGGACTCCCACAGCGGTTTCTTTATTTAAATCGGCTTAATTCAAGGCAAGTGAGATTTGAAACTAGGTTGCTTTGATGTCATGTTAAAGGCCCCTTCTACTATACCAAAACCCCAAAGTGGTGAGAGTCGAGGGTTATAATGTTATAGTCTACAATATATTTGAAAACTATAAATCATAATTCTCAATCGTCACCACAACTTGGGAATTATGGTGCAGTGGCAGGTCCTTGGACATGGTATCAAAGCAACCGATGTTCAAATCTACCAACCACAACTTTAAAGTGGATTTTAGAAAAATGACACTATTGCCTAATTCCAGGTTCCAATCCATGAAAAAGGCGCTCTACCTACCGGGGCATGTTAAAGCATAAAAATACAACCCTCAACCATCATCACAACTTTGAAATTTTGGTGTAATTATAAGGACTTTTAACTTTGCATCAGAGCAACTCATGTTCAAATTACCGGCCACAAATTAAAAGTGGATTAAAATATATTGCTTCATAGATTCTAGCTTTCAGCCCATAAAAAAGGGCCCTCAATATGCAAGGGAATGTTAGTATAAAATTATAATCCTCAACACCAACTTTATAATCTGAATCTTTTGATGTAGTGCCAGGGTCTCTTGGCAATATAAATATTAACATAAGGAAGATCAAATTCTTTTTTGAACATATAATTAAGTTGAACTCGTCAAATGTTCAGCTTCCTCTCGTTTATAGCATAAATGTAGCCAGTCAAGCTATAGCATGCCTTGTAAGTTTTTGTATTGCAAAGCTTTGGGAATTATGGTGCAGTGGCAGGTCCTTGGACATGGTATCAAAGCAACCGATGTTCAAATCTACCAACCACAACTTTAAAGTGGATTTTAGAAAAATGACACTATTGCCTAATTCCAGGTTCCAATCCATGAAAAAGGCGCTCTACCTACCGGGGCATGTTAAAGCATAAAAATACAACCCTCAACCATCATCACAACTTTGAAATTTTGGTGTAATTATAAGGACTTTTAACTTTGCATCAGAGCAACTCATGTTCAAATTACCGGCCACAAATTAAAAGTGGATTAAAATATATTGCTTCATAGATTCTAGCTTTCAGCCCATAAAAAAGGGCCCTCAATATGCAAGGGAATGTTAGTATAAAATTATAATCCTCAACACCAACTTTATAATCTGAATCTTTTGATGTAGTGCCAGGGTCTCTTGGCAATATAAATATTAACATAAGGAAGATCAAATTCTTTTTTGAACATATAATTAAGTTGAACTCGTCAAATGTTCAGCTTCCTCTCGTTTATAGCATAAATGTAGCCAGTCAAGCTATAGCATGCCTTGTAAGTTTTTGTATTGCAAAGCTTTTTGATTAAGCCGTAAATTTAAGGGTCCACTTTATGGGTCTCAATTGCCCCCTCATTTTAGCCTTAGGTTCAGCCATTTAATCTTTCCCTGCTGCATTGAACTCCTAAGTCGTTTTCTCCCAACAATACGAGCATCACTTATCCAGGTTTCAGGTTATGGTGCCTACTGATCACAATCCTAAAATATTTACCAAACTTCCGATGGAAGAAAATAATCAACATGCACATCATGGAGCAATCTTGCACTATATTCTCTTGAATGAAAGAACATACAATTGAAGAGAACACTAAAACATCATGGCTGCTTAGATCTTTGTTTCCAAGTGTATTCTACACAAAAGCAATGGCACCACTGACACAAACATAGAGTGATTTATAATACCCGGCTATGGAATCTCAATTCAGGCATCTAATATATTGATGATGTCTACAAATATGGCCTCCGTTTCTCATCCAAGGACCAAACTGAAATACATGTGAGGCATCGGGATATGCCATTTTCACCCAAAGAAAATGATAGACGAAAAAGATAAACCATTTAATTTGGAAAGGAATAAATTAATAGTGGTGAGCTATATGTTATCTGCTCCTAACCTAAGTGAAATTGCCATGCCTTTTCTTCTTTTTGCTCCTAACCTAAGATAGCGAAATGGTCATGCCTTTCTTCTCCAGGAAACCTTTCCTACTGCTCAGTGTCAACCTCTAAGATAGGTACCGTGTATCAGCTCTAAGTCTGAACAACAAAATAATAAACAATCACTACATTTATTAGCATAGTGCTCATAATAGCATAAAAAAATATGCCGACCATTAACCTGAAAGGATTGGGACTTTCAAAAAGTAAAACTCAGAGGAGCAATCGGATTTGGATCTTATGTATAACACATTTTTGTCTAGTATAATATGAATTTGGATATGGATATTTCTATGAAAGGAAATCTAATATCCATATTTGGTAGAACATATGGATATAGATCAAGTATGAACAATGACCATATCCCAATACAAATGCAACAAGACACGAAAAATGACCAAATTCAATAAAACTAATACAGGTAAAAACCAAGAAAATAAAACCAATCCTAATCGATGTGCTAAGTGTTAAGCCTTCTTTATTTACATTTTATTCCGCAAGCTGTAATACTTAACTTGTTTCCAATCTACAATATATCAATTTCGCCTTCATGTGCCCCAAAAATGTGTTGAACGCCATCATATCTGTGCCAAAGACATATCAGAATAAGCAAATCTGGTGGATACATGCGAAACACATCCAACATGTGTCTGGCCCTGGACCACTTTGGTGATGACAGTTTGGTTCAACCCAATTTATGTTTAGTTTTCATGATTTGTACTGTTGACATTTTTTGAGTTAATATGAAACTGCGATCATACAATTTATTATGAATCTTGAGGTTGTATCATGCCTGCCCCATGTGGGTAGACAACTAACAGTTGGGGACATCAAGATTTGATGGAAGAGAAGACGTGGGGTACGGGATTTTGGTCTTTTAATGAAGCAGCCATTCTCTGCCTAGAGCCTTCTTTATATGATCTGGTTCACTTATGGACCTTTTTCTTCCTCCACCAATTCCCTAATATCCCTAGAAAGGCTGGGGTCACATTACTGTTCTCCAATGGGTCGACAAAAGAGCACATCATGTAATTGTTGAAGCATGTTAGATAAGGACAATGTACACCAAATCCTGAGATATGCCTCTTTCACCTCCCGAGCTTTGACAAGAGAATCAATGCAAATCTACTTATCCACTCCTCAAAGCCTGATCTTTCCAATAGTGAAGCAGTAATGTCTCAACTGTGATCAATACTTGAACTGGGATTTGAACGTAGTAAATATTTTTTTTTTCTTGCCCACCTCTAAACTCTGAGACCAGGAGCTCCCACCTTACAATCTTTAATTTTAAAATTGATACGAGTTGCCGTGCGAGAACCCTTAGGTTGCGGAATTACCAAAAGGTGGGTTGAAAAGAAGACAACTAAAACACAAGACAATTCAGTATGGCGAAGAAAAATACATTCTTCTAGATTATGAAGAACAAAAGATTACAATCTCTCCCTCACAATCTCACTAGAATCGAGAACAACCTCTCAATCCTCTCTAAACCCTAATACAAAGATTAGAATCTCTCTCTGATCTAAGATCATAAAACTGATTCTAAGATCTCATAGATCCTCACAATCTAAACCTTAATCCTTTTGATTAGGATCTCACTTAGACCTAAAACCCTTTAGATCTACATCTTGGTCTCTCCCCCCTGTTTAGAACCCTAAACAGCCCCTATTTATAGGGTTTACAACATGGTGGCAATCTGGTAAATAACCAAAACCAAACCTAACTAGGATTCCTTCAAAACAGAAACCAAGTCTGCCCAGGAAACCTCGATGAGTCGACTCATGACTGCATATGAGTCGACTCATGACTGATGAGTCGACTCATAAACTGATGAGTTGACCGAACAGAAACTTTTGACAAAACGGCTGGGTTTCGTGAGTCGACTCATGACAGACATTGATGCGGCATAAACATGTACCAAAAAGGTTGCAAGTGCACAACCGTGTCAAGTTATAGTATTTAAGATATCGATCCCACGAGGAAGGTGTTTTGTAGGAGAAAATATAAATTCGGTTTTTATGTTGTGTGCGTGACAAGTAGGAGTGATAAGTGAATGTGATTGTGAAGAGATTGAGAGAGTGAAAATGGTGTGTGAATAGGTGCAAAGTGTAAGTGAGAGTGGATTTGAAAAAGAATGAGTATGATCAATAAGGTGAGAAGGAAAAATGAATAAAATCAAGAAACAAAAATAAAAAAATCAAGAATGAAGAACAAAATTCAAGAATAAAAGAAAATGCAAGAAATTAAAGATGGTGGATTCAATTATAGATATGGGTAATCTAAAATTGAACCCACTTCTTAGAAAAGGGTGATTCCCTAGAGGGTTCTAGCCTAAAGGTGAATCAAACAAAAAGAAAAATAAACAAAAAGAAAAACTAAACCCAAAAGGGTTCTAGCCTCAAGGTGAATAGTATAAAAAATTAAAATCTAATTACAAAATAAATTACAAAGTCTAAACTACAAAATAAAATTGCAAGAATTAAATGCAA